CGCCTCGTGTTTTATCGCGCCGAGGTTTGCACAAGAATGTAATATCGGACATTATCCGGGGTTATGGGGTGTTTTTATGTACCGCATGTGTTGTTCTGGTAGCTTCAGCATTCAGGAGCCTGGGCATGAGCGGGCACTGGGCTGTTACGGCGCGGCGCTAGGATGAGCAGTGTAAGCAACGGACGCGGCTAGACTGGGTTTGGTTGCCTAGCGTGGCAAGCACGCTGAACACTTTTATATGAATGGGATTTTGAATGTTAACACGAAATAGGAGTGCAATGCACCTTAATATTTGACCCCTGCAGGTGAGCTGTTCCTTACAGACTAACAGATTGGTTAGTTTCCATTGACTACTTCAGGTATGATACATTAAGAATGTACCAAGTGTAGCGCTAGCTAGCGATTACCGGTAGCTGCGATTTTAGCGTTACGGTTCTTTTCAGTATTAATACAATGAGTAAGTAGTGTAGCGTAAAGTTATTTTTCTAGCACTTAAACACCCCTATCATGACAAAGTGCTGTACAGGTTTTTTGTTTTTTTTAAAAGTCAGATCAATAGAAATAACAAATTTGAAATACAATTTGTGGATAAAAAAAAATAAATAAATGAATGTTAAACCAACAGGACAGAACTACACACATGGCCAGGACACCATGAATAGGAAGGTTAGGGGACTAGGAAAAGTAATGAATAGAGGTGAGTGTTGTATTAATCTAGATTTAAGGTGGGATGGAGGGGTGGCCCGATATTATCGGACATCCCTGATTATAACCAATTATCTTAATGACACATGCTGAAGGTCTCTGATGTCAGAGTTCAGGGGGCAGGGCTTACCTGGAGGTGGAAGGCAGCTCCCGGTTTGGACACTTGACTCAGGAAGTGTTCATGAAAACCAGATCGCAGGATGTCCTGAGCATATGTCTCATAGGGGTCAAAGGCCAACTCCTGTCAATCAACCACAGACCTGATCAATCACAGACAGACAGGTAGAGACACAGACAGGTAGAGACACAGACACAGACAGGTACAGACCTCAGCCAGGTCCTCGAAGCAGCTTCCCACCAGAGGATGAGGACTTCCTTCATCTGTCATCTCCACCGTGTCCTCGATGAGACCCAACAGCTTCACCGTCACCTCGTGGATATCCACGATCCGACTGAAGATACTGTCCACATCCTGATCAATACAGGATCAACACACTGATCAGAGAGGTGATCAATCATACAGTAGATCAACAATCATACAGGAGATCAATACTTGTACGTACGTGCTGTGAGAAGAGCATGAGGTTGGAGTTGAAGGGTTCTCTGAACACTTTGATTAGCAGGTTCAGTTGTCTCACAAACTGTCGGCCGTCAGACATGAAGCTCCTCACCAGCTCGTAGTAACTCTGCTCCTCATTGGCCGACGGCTCCTCGTCCATCAGAGGGAACCAGCTGATGTCCTCCTCGTCCTGGTGGAACATGTCCATCAGCACCTGAGCACAAACAGGTGAGCCAGGCAGGCAGACAGGTGAGACACCCGTTTTATTTCACTAAGAGCTAAGTTAACTCATAGCCCTGATCAACCAAACTCCATTCAGAAAACAGGCATTTTAAGAATTCCGACTATACAAATTATAATGTTGTCATTTCAGCATCATATTGATCCGTTTATTGATTACTTTGGGCTCCTACGGTCGCAGCGAGAAAGATCGGGCTGTGTTTCGGTACCTTGTCGGCACACATGGCCACAGTGATGTCCTGCTGGGAGATCTCGTAGTGTCGGATGTTCCTCACGTAGTTTCCCGCCAGTTTCAGGATGTCGGCGGAGATGTACTCCAGCACGGCCACCATGTAGACCGACACCTGGTGGTCCACCTTATAGCCCAGCACCTCCTGACGACACAGAGCATCATGGGAAACGGTGAGTGAGAGCGAGCGTGCATGATGAAGATGAGGATGATGAAGGCCGGCGTACCTTGAGAAGTGGGTGGATCTTGTCCACAGGCAGAGCCAGCGGGTTCCTCCTCTTCCTCTTCTCGATGGCAGCCTGAGCGTCGGCGATCGCCCACTTATCGATCGGATGAGGGAAGCTCTTCTGGACTCGCTCCTGGCAGGAAGAGGGGCGGGACAGGTGAGGACGGGGACCAGGACTGAGCTGGTCTAACAGTGAGTATGGAACAGAAACAGGAAGCAGTTTGTTTCTGTTGTTGACCACACTGCTGATTGGACGGAACACAGACCAATCACAACACAACTAGACCCTGCAGCCAATCAGCTGCTGGCTGCACTCTGATTGGTCTATGATGCAGTTCCTCTCTTTTGTTCCTGTGGACTGCAGCTGGAGGACAGGAAGTGGATTTCCACATTAAAAGCACGATCACATAAATGAAGCCATAACGGTTACTATAGTTGCCCAGTTTCTGTTTTGCCTCTGATGCCTGCAGCTGGTCAGCTCTCAGGGATTCACACAGTTCACTGATGGACTGATGTTACAACTTGTAGCTAATCACCTGACAGGACTGCTAAGTTAGTTGCATCAGCTGTTGACGTTAGCTACTTAGCAGCTAAAGTAGCTAACAACAAGAAGCTAACCTTGAAATGCGGCCGGGTACAAACGTTTCTCCTCTAACCTCTGACAGACTTCCTGTCTGGTGCCACAATGTTGATGTAGTGAGTGTTTATTAAATACATGTAAATATTAATACAATTACAAAAATATCCTGTGAATTTACATGTTTAATGTAAAATAACATAAAAAATCTGTAACTGTCAATAATCATAAAATTACTGCTTATTTAAAGAAAATGTCATTTTTTTCCACATAAAATGATTAAATTAAATTTTGCAAACATATAATCTATATTCACTGATTAATTAATAGATTAAACTGTTAAATTCAAGTTTTAATACTGGTTATAGACATTATAAAATTATGTAACAGTAAAGGCTGAATTATTTGTTTTATAGCAGAAGTTTCACCACTGTTTTATAGATCATTGTTTTACACTGTAAAGTATATTAAAAAGACAAAAAAGATTTTGAGTCAAATTAAAGGCAAAAACTGTATTTTTACAAGTCAGTAACTTTCTGTTCTTTTACTGTTTTCTTTTAGCTGCTGGAATATTATCGGGGTGTTTTTACAGTGCGTCAGTGATCCTCCACTCTGTGGTGGTGACAAATTGGGGGCTTGTCTATTAGTCTTTTTGGTTAGATAGATTAGAAATTAGATTATTTGGTTAAATTCATTGAATTGCTGATTTGGTGTTTTGTTTACAGCTGTTCTAGTTTTTGGGAGATACACCTTGTGTTGTAGTGGTTAAATCTTGGAAGCGTTGTTTTGGCCTAGAGACTTTAGTACTGAACAGAAGGTAGTGTATGACTGTTTTGTGGTGTGAGAGTTTTCCCCGTTAGGCTGTATGGCGTTTCCCCTTGGGACTCGTCAGTTTTTTTTTTTTCTGTAGTGTTGTCAAATGGGGTTGAAGAGGGTTGTCTCGGGGAGCAACGCTTTTCCCGGAGAGGTTGCTATTGCGGGTAGCCTATCCGCGTAAGTATTCAGGTCATAAGTACCCGCGCGGTCCCCGCATGAAGACTAGGGTTGAGTTTTAGCAAGTTTTGGTTAGGCAGTTAGGGGAAACTCTATGGGTTTAAATTTCACTCACAATTGTTTGGTTGGTTAACACGTGATTCGGTAAGTACCTGTAAACTGTTATGGTCGTGTTAGAGTTTGTGAAGGCACCTACAGAGGATTTGTAAAAAGGCTGTTCAATAAGGAGGCAGTTAATACAGATCGCGACCACTATGGCTTAGTGTTGATGTTAAAAAAAAAAAAAGGGGAGATTATAGCGTTGGTTTTGGTCTTCATCGCATGAAAAAGGTGTTTGGTTAAAGGAGAGTTGGGTCGGATTTTGTAGGACAGCGCCAGGTGCCAATTTGTTGTGCCTGGGCTGGGTTGACATTCGAGCAGCAGAAAGAGTTGTTGATTTTGCAGTATGAGCAAGAGAAAGTACGGTTAAAAGTAGACATGAGAAGAAGCAACTTGAGTTTAGAGAAAAATTCGGCAAACACAGCTGAGAAAATTTAAATTGGGAACTGAACACTCCAATTAAAGTGATCCATGGATGTAAGCTTTCTCTAGCTGAGTCGGGATATGGGGGACCAGTCTTCCTCTTGCAGATTCATCTTGTGGTATTTGATGTTTGGTGCTATTTGCGTTTGGTGCCGAAGTTTTAACGAGCGTGACCCGATACTTTTCACTTTATTTGAACGGGGTACAGATGCTAAAAAATGGCAGATTCTAGATAGGTTACTGATGCTTCAGGTGCGTTCCTTTTACCGGGAGGGCCTCAAAGGAGGCATATTCTGCGTTATGTGGATTCTGCAGTTTAGAATATGTACAGATAAAATCGGCTGTGTTAAAAGCGTATGAGTTCAGTTCCTGAGGCATATCCCAAAAATTCGAAGTGGGTTCAAGGGGGATAAGCAAACAAACAGAGTTTGTTCCGTGATTTGCTGTCTTTCATTTTAAACCTGTTTGGTGTTCTTCTACCAGGAGTTGGGTTTGTTTGACAGACTTTGGTGAAGTTGATTGTCTTGGAAACAATTTAAAAACGCAATCCTCAACGCATTTGCACGTATTTAATGAGCAGAAGCCCTCACTGCGCTTAAAAGTGGCTGAGTATGGGCCGACGATTTCTGTAGTTGACGATAAAGGTAGTTTTGCAGGATGCGCGCTCTGGAGTTGAATGGAAAAGTGGAGATAACGGTGGCAAATCTCTCGCGCTGGTAACAAGTTTCCGGAGGGTCTGTTCCATCGCAATGCTACGTACACCTCCTACATAGGAGCCGATGGTGCCAGGGCTTGTAGTTACTGGCCATGTTTGGGTCACTTGGAAAGGACAGTGTCCGCTGTTGGAAGTGCAAGGGTTTGAATTTGGAGAACTGAATTGATTTGGAACAGTTTGAATCATTTGGAACAGTTTGGAATCATTTGGAATATTTTGGGGGAACAGTTTGGAAATCATTTGGAAACAGTTTGAAGACTTTTAGGAACTGTCTGTTTTAAATAAAGTCACCAAAGGCCGATTCCTATCCTTTACCTCGAAATAGAGGAATTGTATTGACCAGGTTGGTTTAGCCACATTTGTTTAGAGAATTTGATTGGTCTAAAAAAGGATACTGGCAAGTTCCTTTGACAGCGCGTTCTGAAAATTTCTGCTTTGTAACACCTTTCAGGACTGTACGAATATACAGGTCATGGAGTTTTGGCCTCTGATGCACCTGCAAACCATTCAACGCCTTATTGAATATTGTGGTATCCCTCTTAAACTGATTTTCAGTTGCCTGGTTTTTGGCAGCAGGGTGCGGTATCGGAAAACGTGAGGTGGATGTTTTAGTTTTTTTTTGTCATTTGATATTCGGTGTCCCTTTTGGGACCTCGTCTTAAGGGGGGGGTGTGGCGCCCCCTGTGGCACTGAGTGTTTGTTGTTGCCAGGTCGATGGTGGTGTTGCTGGGGGTTAAATTGGTGCCAACTGGCAACAACCTGGGGCCTGGTGCTCCCAGGCTATTATAATTCAAGGCCCTGTGGCCCATTCTAGCTCTCTGCTGCTTCTGGTTCGTTTATTGTTTGGAGTTGTTTCCTAATTTGTTGTTTGTTTGTACTTAATTTGTGTTCTTTTATTTGCAGGCAACGCTGCCAGTGCGTGTTGGGGAGGACTGCAGTGTGGCCTCACCTTATATTTTACTTTTGTACACTGTACACATACACACACATTATCTCATGCAACCTTACACTACTTGACTACAACTGATATTCACACTATTATTTAAAGTATTTAGTTTTCATTCATAATTTGACTTTTTGTTCAATAAATTATCTTTTTGTATTCCTTAAAGTGGGTGATCTCCCATTTTGTCATGACTTAAGAGCCGGGTCGTGACAAATTGGATTAACCAAGACTTCCTGTCCAACATTCCTGTACTCCACCTGACTGCAGACCAGATCTGGTTGTCTGCACACTTCCAGGTCCATCAGACAGTGATCAACCGCGACTCTAGGAAGTTCACACAGTCACGAACACACCACCACACACAACTGAGCCTTTGAGGAGCCAGTGAGGGGTGCAGTAGGTCAGAGTGTCACACAATCACAGTAGAGTCCTGACAGTAGATGTACTCAGGGCAGCTGGTTCTAACCTTTATTTAAAACAGACAGCAACACAACTTTATTGATAAAACAATAACAGACATATCTGTCTGTTGTATGTTATTATTGATCTAACTAATCACTGGTGTTTAAATAAATAAAATAAACAGGATTTGATAACTGACACAGCTCAGAACTATTTAATATCAGTTATTGATTGATGTGTAGTATGTGTGGTTGTGTGTGTGTGGTGTTTTAACCTCCACTTCCTGTACACGTTATCGGGTTGAGCTGCATCAGCATACTGGAGCAGCAGCATGGATAGCTCCTCACACGTAGCTGCAGCATTTCCTCCTGCTGGGACACCAGGTTAGATGCACCTTGGTTCAAAAACCTGACCCACACAACACACACACACACACCTCACAACACCACACACACGAGTAACACACACACACACACACCATTAAATGACACACACACACATGCATACACATAACAGACCACAAACACACGAGTTAACACACACACACACACAGTAAGCTACACACACAACTACACACAGTAAACACCACACACACAACACACAGACAAGAGACACGATCATCACACACACACACAGACAGAGACACACACACACATCACACACAGACAGAGACCACACACACCACAACAACACACACAGAGACACCACAACAGTAACCACACAAACACCAGTAACACACACACCTAGTAACAACACAGAGCACAAGTAACACACACACAGTAACACCACACACCACAGTAAACAACACAGTAACACACACACACAGTACACACACCACACACAGTAACACACACACACACACAACACACACAGTAACCACACAACACACACACAACAGTAAACACACACACATCAGAAGACACACACACACAACCACACACAGGAGACCACACACACATCACCCCACTAAACCCACACACAAAACATCACGTAACCCACACACACACAACACACAACACACACACAGTACACAAACACAACACACACAAGTACAACACACAACCAGCAGCATCAAGAGACACACACACAACACAGGAGACACAATACACACACACACACAGTAACACACACACACCACACAGTACACACACACACAGTAACAACACACATTACAGTGGACA